GATCCAGGTCGCGGTACATCATAAAAATAAATCGGATTTTTCGACCTAAGAAGGTGTTATAGGGATTCCACAATGCGGACACCACTGGTTGCCTATAAAATATTAATGCTGTTCGATTAAACGACCAATACGATGTGCTACCTTGGCTGATTTAAGGTTATGCCGACCTCATTTCAGGAGAGTTTTTATTTAATTTATTAGGTTAATAGATACTTGTGGCGCCAGCCCTTGGTCTTTTAACTGCCCATAGTTAAGTTTTATTTAGAACTCCAGAAGGTTTTTGTGACACAATCACCGCTCAGGGTTAATACGTGCAATCGGTGGTAAATTTTCACGCAACAGATATATTGGCAATCTTCTTCCATATTTCACTACAAGTTTCACTGGAATACCAGTTCATCATTAATGAAATATGTATCCATGACTTTAGGTTTTTCATAAAATTGGTTCACACGTACCTGAAGTGAAACCTTTTGAATATCAGCTATAGAAGTATAATGGGTAGAAACTGGAGCGTCATAGCGACATATTGGGTATTGAAGATTAGATCGTAGAAGGAAAAAAGAGTAAATATGATGCATACCATTTTAGCGGTGGTGGGAGTGTTTACAGGTTGTCATAAATGTAAAAAAATACGTAGAAATACTGGAGTGAGTCAGATATTGTTATATCTTTCGGCAACCAGTCAACTCAGAGCTATCGGTTAAGACAATGTATTGTATCGTTTTTCTTCAAAAAAAATGCACTAGTTTATTTACAACACAACCAACTTTAACTTAACTAGAACATTTATGTACTCCACTATTTATGTCTGACTACTTATTTACGAATTAAATTGGCGCGCTATTCACTTCAACTTTTTTCCCTCTCCCAGACGTCGTCGGCTTAAATATTCCGCATCGCAGGTACTCGTTAATTCGAGAAGGTTCCAGTACGCCACATAGCGGCGACTCCAGAACCTTCGGGGTCAGTCTCGCTCCTCGCTTCGATGCCGAAGGAGGATCCCTAGCTGGGTTCCCAACAGATGGCGTTAGTAGCACCATTCACTCTTGTTACAGTATCAAAGAGAAATTGCTGGAAATTATTTTCAGGTTCCTAAAGTCGCCGCTAGAGGGCGTAACTCCAACCGCAAAACTAGAAAAACGTCTTTGTTCATCGTTGGTATGGAGTTGGCTATCACAAGCTATAACATGTGTCAATTTCTGCAGAAATCAAGGTCTCAACCACGGCAGTTTGAAGTATTTTCAAAGACCTGGAAGCAAGTTACGGTGACTTACCCTTTTATTGTATTACGCGCTGGTTAAGCTGCGCAAAAGTGCTAAAGATTTATTTTTGAAATCATTGACGACGTTGAGATGTTTATGCAAATGAGATTTTTACGACGTCGTCTTCAGTGCTTTTCGAAACAGAACCGCCACAGTTCCAAATGGAGCTGATTAAGCTGCAATGCGATACGATCCTTAAGGATAGATACTACCACTACAATAGTAATTTAATTCCGTTTTATCAAGGTGTTGAACAGCAAGATTTTCCCAAAATTCTTGCACTGGCCTTGGAAACTTGCTCCATGTTCGGTAGAAGGTACTTCCGCGAGCAGATGTTTTCTTTAATGAATTTGAACAAAACTAAAGACAGGTCTTTGTCTGATGTGTCCTCAGAGGCGATACTCAGAATTTCCACTGCTCAAGCCACTGTATCAAATATTAGAAAACCTGTTGAATCGAAACGCTGTCAAAGATCATCTTAAGAATAAATGTGTTTACGTCGAAATTATGAACATTATTTTATCACCCGCGCGTTGACTCGATCAGACAAATTCAAATGTCAATACGAATGTCACTCCCCTCATTTTCCGTTGGGGCTGGGAGCCGGCGAAATCAAACCTTATCGAGGATTCGACTAAACTTAGTAATAATATAATACATAAACAGAATAATTGTAAACAACTTAAAATTAGTAAATTCAAGCCGTATGATGTATGATGTAAATGCTGGGCAAGCTATAATTGTAGATTTAACAGGGGATTCCTCAATTTTACTTTAAATTTTGTCAAAGCTTTCTGGTCTTTTACCTATGTGTATAGTTTATTATATTCAATCAACCCTTGATGGAATACAGATTTGTACCATGTTATACTTTTTGGTCATTAAATGGAAGTCTTACTTATTTCTGGTATTATGTAAATGATGGTCGACATTTGATGATGTTAAATTAGCTAGACTTGATGGAAATATATTATTTTTTACTTTATAAATGAATATCAGTACAAGATATTTGATAAATTTGTTTAAATTGAGCGATTTTAATTTGCTAAGCATTTGTCTAATTGGAGTATATTTATCTTTATTCAGTATTATTCTTATGCACTTATTTTTTTTAATTTGCAGTCTCCAATAAATGGAATTATTTGCTAAATAAAGAATAGTCGAACAGTACAAGAAATTTGGAAGAATGATGGTATCACGGATAATTTTCCTGCTATATGAACTCAGACATCTAGAAACTCTTGATAAATATCCCACTTGACTACTAATCTTATTTATAACTTTTCATAATGAATATCGAAAATTAATCGAGAGTCAACAAAAACCCCCAGGTATCTAAAATTTTCTATGAATTCAATATCTTCACCATCAATATTCTTTCGTTTTACTTGTATTTAATTTGAGTCTGTTAGATACTAACCATTTTGAGACAAGTTTCAAGTCTTCATTTATATAAGAGATGCCAGTCTGAAGATTTTTAATACTTATATAAATCATAGTGTGGTGAATCAGTAGGGAAGAGCAAATAGAGGAATTTAGTTTTTAAGATAGTGTCTTAGAATATGGCTCCAGCGACCTCTACCGGAAATAATAACACTATGTCTAGTGAACAACGACTTGAGAGATAGGAAAAATAAAGCGCCAGCTGCCTTGTTCTATCAAGCTGCCTTGGTACCCCATCTGGCGGCATTCAAATGAGAAAACCGGATTGACAAGGTGTCTCCAATGGCTCTCTCTCTCTTTTTGACGTTTCTGTCTCACACACACAAGGCACCATGGTGCATTCGCATACTCCTGCTAAGCTCACCGGCCGGCGTTCCGACACGGCTGACTAACTTATCCCTAATGCAGCGCACACAACGAATACACAGTGCAGTGGCGCCGCGGTGGGCGCTGCCGCGCAGGTGTGGGGGGACGTCCTTGCCAGATGGACGGTAACTACCGGTAGGGTAGGGAAGGAATGACTATGGACCTGTCTGACTGACTTGGTCCATTTGATGTCTCTGTTGTACATATTCGTAACTGACATTTTGCTCAGAAGAATTCAATTGCGCCGCGCAGGAAGCGATGAGTCAATCTACTTGACTCCATCTTGTTCGATTTGTTCTGTAACCTAAGTGGAAGTAGTTTTTCACGTTTTTTATAAAACGTTTCCTCTTTTATGGAGGGCAGAAGGTAAGCGCTCTCAATTATGCCGGCGAAACCTAATAGCCGAAATTACTGACGTGTTCCTTTGTGATTCCAACATTTCATCTATCTAATTGCAGCTGCTATTTGATCAGATTCTTCCATTTGCTGGTTATAGCTACCGCAATCTGTTTGACTGTGGTAATGAGCTTGAGAGCTCTTTTGGACCTTTGACTGCTTTGACAGAGAGGGATAACCCTGACGTGAGCGTGAATATCGCACCCTTCCTTTGGGGCATTGCCCATAAAACATTTACAATATGAATTAGTCTGTGTAAAAACCACTTAAGTTCTTCCTTTATTAACCTGGTGTTCTAATTAAAGGCGATTTATTAAAGTAGATTCGTATTCTGGGTATACAATATTCCTTGCCCTTGAAATAACGCTACGTGATACTCGTCCAGTACAAAAACATCGTTTAATGGTGAGTTCATGCACGACTTAACGTAACTTAACTTAAGAAAATGAACATTTAAAGCGCATGCGCGGCCAGGATTGCCAATGTAGCAATGGCGACTATATCAGTATTAAACACACTAATAAAATCATATGTTTAACGACAAGGTAGCAGATAAAATAGTGTTTTGTGCTATGTGGGCTTGCGGACCAGCCTTGACATTGACAAGTGGCATCTCCCCACTTGCCTGCGCCAATGCACTCGTAATCAGTCAGGTTTATTATCAAAAATTTTGTTGTTCAAAAAAGAGCAGTAGGTCTGCTAAAGGGACTAAATTTCAATGAAACTTGCAGGGCCATGTTTAAAACTGAAAAATCATGACTATGTATGCCATCTATGTGTATGAGTGTCTTATACTTTATTTGAGCTTCAAGTGCAAACTGTTTATGATACTCCAACAATCAATGTTAATTATCCAGTACATAGATTATCCTCCACAGAAAAAAGCATTATTTACACGTGTTTAAAATTTTTGAACAATCCACCGGATGAAATTAAACACATTAACAGTTTACGTAAATTTAAAAAGACTATTAAGCTATTTCTAGTAAAGTCAGAGCCTTATACAACAGATGACTCCTATGGGAGTTGTAAGAGTTTCAGATTGTAGCTGTTTTAAGATAAATAAGCATGTAACACAAAAATGGTTTAAGGTAAACTGCTATAGCTACGGTGATAGTGACGCAACATTTCATTTTGTAGTGACAAAGAATTTTTGTAATGTCATTGTATAATTTAAAATATAGATTATTATTATTACTAACAGAACAAACAAGCACTGCAATACGTTAGCTGGGTACATAGGTAAAGCCTTACTAACAATTGTTTTGACATTGATCAAACAAAATTAGAGGGTTTGCGTTTGAAAAAATGGACTTTCATTTTTTTGGGACAACCTAATGTGTATGTAGTTGACGATATTGTTTACAACTGGTTACCCTTTACGTATTTTAGATAAGCGCATGATGTTGTCCGCATATTCTGTACCCCTTTCACCCTGGAGCACTACTTTCTGCGATTTTTATTTTCTGTCCTTCACAAACGCTGTGCCAGTCGTCCCCGAAACCTTTAATGAAACTTTGTCGTTGTTTGCAGGCCGGAGACGCGAAGGCGACGGCGGAGAGGACCAAAAGGAACACGAAAAAGGAGTCGGGCCGGTGGAAATGTCGCCGTCACAATTTCCCACCGTCGTGGCTCTATCGGAAACTTCCGAGCTGTATGCGGAGGGACGGTCAGTATCAAACCTTCAATTGAAACGTGACGGATTTATATTGAAGTGGAAAACGTATATTCGTAGGAACATGTTATTTGCAGTAGATCATTCTATGCTTCCTCGCCGGTTTCTGCCTTCCTCCTTTTCATCCTCCTTTGCGAGAAAGGCGCTATTTCCTGCTTACTAGCAACTCATCAGTGCGGTATAGGTCTTAGGTCTAGTCGTGAAGGCTGACTGACAGTGTCGCCAGGTCAAAAAAATAAAATTCAGCATGAATGGAATGAAAAATCACAAGGTTAAAAAAAAATTACCAAGAATTTTAAAACTTGATTTTTCAAGCTGTATTACTATAAGTAAATGAATAAAAATGAATTTTTGATGTTTGCGTACAACTTAATGGTTAAATTGCTTAATAAAACACAATTGACTATAAATCTGCTACTGTGGGGAAGGCGGTAAGATATTCTTTTATTAGCAACTACCTAAGATACAATTTGAATACATTTTTATGGTTGTTTTTGGATGATTTTGCAATATTTATTAATACCCAGATCAGAATTATTATAAAAAAAATCCTACATTTTTAGCAAAACAAATTTTTATTTTCCAATGTGATCATTACAATACACAATGCTGCAAAGTAGTGTAAGTAAATTATCAGCAATCAGTATATCACTAGAAGCTAAAAATAATCCATGAAACATTTACCGATTAATCTGTAACTTGAACAAATATACTAAGTGACATATAAATCCGAACACCCAGTTTAAATGGTTTTATTTCAATAAAATTTTGTATAAGTACTTAATGAAGCATAATAAGTAAATGATAAAAATTTGAAAATGATTGTACTGCTTTAAAGCCCTTTGACCTTTAATAATATGTGGATGCACCCTGATGTGCTACGCATTCTCCAACGCGCCTAGGCATGCTTCTGATTAGGTGGTCAATGTCCTCCTGTGGTATCTCATTCCAGGCAACCACCAACTCCTCTCGAAGTGCTTCTAGAGTCTGAGGAAGACGTTGCAAATTGAGCAATCTCCTACCCATCATATCCCACACGTGCTCAATTGGGGATAAGTCGGGAGATCTTGGTGGCCATGGTAACAATGTGACATCATTATGTTGAAAGAACTCTATTGTGACTCTTGCAACATGTGGTCGGGCATTATCTTGTTGGAAAGTTGGATCAGCCAGGGTGTCAAGATAGGGTAAAAGATGGGGTTCTAGAACTTCGTGGATATAACGCTGCGCGTTCATGCTACCTCTGATGAAGATTAAAGGTGACCTGGAGCCATAAGCTATAGCACCCCAAACCCTAAGTAAGACAGTGTGATGAACATGTCAACCACCGTGCATGCCTAAACAAAATCGAGGCTCGTCACTAAAGACAATACTGTTCCATTCCTGATCCCAGAGTGACCGTTGTCTGCACCACTCAAGGCGATTACGTCGGGGTTCTCGAGTTAAAGGGAGGACCCAGTGTGGCCGGTATGAAAACAAGCCAAAACTTCTCATTCGTCAGTAAACACTTCGCATGCCAATAGGTCTTCCGTGTTCTGCAAACCATTCATTTGCAATGGACCTGGTAGTGGAGAAACGGTCCCTTAAGGTCAATAATCTTGGGCGGCGATCTTCAGGGTCTGTTCTTCTACGGCTTCTATTAAAATAAAACCATTTAAACTGGGTGTTCGGATTTATATGTCACTTAGTATATAACCAACTTACCTCCTCATATATTAAATTGGAATGGTTATCTAATCATCACGGCAAAACCCGTAAACAAAATGCAAGCCACTCAGTTCTCTGACAGTAAATCTTGGCATTTTAAATCGATTTAGTAACAATGTCGATTTTAATATAGTAATTTTACACTGCCAACAATGTTAGCTTAACGTCAAAATAAGTCACAACAAATCAAAACATCTTTTGTTTGCAGTCATGGCTAACTATGAAGAATAATCAACGATTCATTTAAATTCGCAGTACGTTTCCTATCATGTGACAAATTTTTTAGTTTGTTTTTATTTAAAAATGGCACAATTTATCCATATTCAATAAGAGTACCGTTTTTATGTAGAAAACCCTAAATTTTCAAATTCTAAAATTGAATTTCAAAAGTAGAATCACACAAAAATGTAGGGGCTAAAATAACCTGGGTCCGTCCCTGTTACACACGCTTCCAAACAAGCCCTTAGGGGACGTTTGTCGACCTATGTTTATATAAACTTTTCTTCCTATTTTAAGCTCTAGAAACCGCTGGTAGAATATTGCACACTTTTTTAGGGACACCCTGTAAAAAGGCTGATTCAGGAAAAAAAGTACTACTAGAAGGTAGATAATGTCAAATAATAATACGAAAACTTTAATTCTCACAGTTCGTTTCTTAATGGCAAATGTATCGGGAAATATTTGATTTATGGCAGAAGATGTAAAATCGGATTAACCTACTACTGGCTACTAAAAATAAAATTTTGTTAAGTTGGTAAATAATCCATTTCCTGATCCTTGTACAATTTCAAAAAAGGCAGTCCTATAGTCATTCCATCTTATTAAAGATGAAAGCACCCAATTTTATGATCATAAATCGATGACACGGTTACCTGCTTCGTACGCGTTTATAGAATCAACCCTAATAGTTCCGTAATAGCCTCATTCTGTCCCGTTAACAAGCTTTGTATAATACGTAGAAAGAAAGAAAAAGCGTAGTCGGTTACCCTTATTAAAAATTAAATTACTCGATTACATTGTTGGCGGAATGTTTCAATTACTAGGGAAAGTAGGCAGCGGCATTTTAACAAAAGCATCCAGTAAGACATAACGTGACTACGTAAATTATCCGCAACAGCGCATCCGAGGGCATAATGGCGTTGTCTAATTATTTGCCATAGCAATGCTGACGTAGTATATTACTTGCATTGTACGCAGTAGTTTAGCAACGGTCAATTAGAGGAGTAGGGCGATGTTGCAATCCCTATTTATTTAAATGGTATGTAATATATATATATATACGTATATATATATATATATATCTTACACGTTGTTATTACGCGCTGTGCTGAAATTTTTCAATTAAAACTCTAAATCCACATCGAGGGAACAATTTCGCAGTAGTTTATCTCCAGTATTAGCTATGCCGCCAGATATGTTTGAAATACTTTGAATTTAAATTCATTTTACACCATTGTTGCTACTGTTATCAATGTAATTGCAGCTCCTGATGATGATGGCAAAGTCCATTGAAAGCTAGAGAGAATAAAAAAAGTATAAAGAGTCCTCTTTGCTTAAATTTTTGTCGAAGTACCCAACAAAAGGCGGAAGCTTTAGTTTTTCACCTAAGTGGTGTAGACGACAATGACCACGTCTCGGGGTTGTGTGACTATTACCTGCATTACCAGAGTTCGGCAAAATATTGGAAGGTGAACTAAATAAGATCTTGTTAATCAGACACTTCGGATAACCATTATTGATGAACAGTTTTGATAGTTTATGTAAATTTGAGGTGTGGAAAGTATTATCTGAGATGCTGATTACCCTTGTTTTCACCTGTTTTACAAAATTGATTTTAATCCCTAGCTTATGGTATGACCTACAATTGAGAAACATCCTCACATACTACTGTAAGTTGATTCAATTTAAATTCATTTTACACTTTTGTTGCTACTGTTATCATTGTAATTGCAGCTCCTGATGATGATGGCAAAGTCCATTGAAAGCTAGAGAGAATTAAAAAAAGTATGAAGAGTCCTCTTTGCTTAAATTTTGTCGAAGTACCCAACAAAAGGCGGAAGCTTTAATTTTTCACCTATATATATATATGTATGTGTAGTATATGTAATATAAGACTTTGAAGTTGAGTCATTAATTTTCAGATAATAATTGTAGAAGGAAGATAAACCAAAATATGTGTGTAAAAAAAAAATTAAAAAAAATGTCACCTTGTTTCATCAAGTATCCTCCCGACAAGTATTTCAGTGCGGACCCCTGCGCCCAAAAGCATGCCACAAAACCTATTCGAAATGACTTCCGTTTTGCTCCACACAGAGCTGGGCTTGTTGCCAAACACGAGCACATAATATTATTATTGAGACGAGGCGGTACTCAAACTTCTAAAGGGCTATAACTTTGTTACTTTAATTTTACCAGTAAAATGTTATAGGAAAAAAGCATTTCTTTCGATGTGATCTACTCACTGTTAAAATAAATGACTCAACTGACTTCGAAGTTGAGTCATTTATTTTAACAGTGAGTAGATCTGATCAAAAGAAATGTTTTTTTCCTTTACCATTTTTCTGGTAAAATTAAAGTAACAAAGTTATAGCCCTTTGGAAGTTTGAGTACCGCCCTGTCTCAATAATAATATTATGTGCTCGTGTTTGGCAACAACGGATATAATCCGCCTTATCGGTTCATCGCATCGGAAACAAAAAAGCGAAAGAATTTGGAACGATGTTTTTACAATTATTCTATTCAGTTGTATACAGTCAGTGTCGGTCGGTAACGCGTGAGTGAATAGTGGTGTCCGTTGCGTGGCTCAAACGAAATACGAAATGGCACATGTTTATGCGGATCGGTTTCCCAATCGAGTGCAACCAACCCCTCGTGCCTTTGTTAATGTAGTACAACGGGCTCGTGAATCAGGTGACTTAAGACACACAGGGGACGGCATGCCGGTGCTCCAAGACCTCACGATCAAATACAGGTCCGCACTGAAATACTTGTCGGGAGGATACTTTATAAAACAAGGTAAACTTTTTTTTTTATTTTTACACACATATTTTGGTTTATCTTCCTTCTACAATTATTATCTGAAAATTAATGACTCAACTTCAAAGTCACCCTGTATATATATATATATATATATATATATATATATATATATATATATATATATATTTATAACTTGAGACGTAGTCATTGTCGTCTAGACCAACCAGCTAGGTGAAACATTAAAGCTTCTGCCTTTTTGTGTACTTCGACAAAATTTAAGCAAGGAGGACTCTTTATACTTTTTTAAT